ACTACACTTGCAAAAGTTACAAAAGTTGCCAAGGAGGAACTCCATAACCTATTTTCAGTAGCACATGCTGTATGGATCCCCATCTTTTTTTTTAGAAGAGTGAAGGACTCACAAGAAAAGTTAAAGCCAAAAAGGACTATGAGCCCATGCATCGCAGGTCACTAACTTTCACTTAATTACTCCTACACTGAGCTCAATAATTTCAGTTTTACTAAAGCTTTTAGTATTTGTTAGAAAGCTATACGTCTGGATGTGAAAATATCCACGCACAGAAACTCCACCATTTCCTCCGGTAGTTTGTTCACCTCTTCTGAGAATTTGTGGCTTACCTACTCTCTTCTATCCCATTCACGTTATTATACTACATCACATCACCATGGTAAGAAAGCAACATGACTAGTATTGACTACTTATGATGCCCCATTCATTTACCATATTGACTCGATTCAAAGACACATTTTCCCCTTATTTAACATGAGAAAAAAGTCCGTCATCTTGGAATCAAGTACAAAGTGGTAGGGGCACAGGCAGCTGCTATGGCTCTGGCTCCAGCCCTAACCCCAAACCAGAGTTGGGGCCAGGGCTGCAGCTGCTGCCTGCCCCCCTACAGCTTTTGCACTCTGCAATCTCCCCTCTGTAGCTTCTCCCCATCATCTCCTGCCCTACAGACTCTGCTCCCTACCCCTGACACTGGCAGACTCCATCCTTGCTCCAGCCTGGGGCCCAACAGTCATGGAGCCATCACAGATGCTACAGGGCCAGGCTAGAACTGTGCTCTGTGCCCCAGGCTGCAGTGGGGATGGAGCCTGCTGGGACCACAGCAAGGACAAGCAGGGTATGGGATGGGGGGCAGGGCAAGCAGGGAGCAGAGGCTTTAGGGGGGAGGGGAAAAGGAGGCAGAGAGGCTCTGGGAGGGAGGGGAAAGGAAGGAACAGATATTTTGGGGGGGGAGGCAGAAAGGAGGCCCAAGGCTGCAGGGGGGCAGGCAGCAGGGGACCAAGTGGTGGTGGGGACAGGTGGCAAGGGTCAACACCCCCTGCTCTCCCCTCCCCAATGCCTGGCCCCTTGCAGCAGTGGGGTGGACAAATTTAAGACGACAATCCAATAATTAAATTCTATACATGGAAAATTATTAAAAAATTATAAATTTCCATGTACAGAATCTAATATTTAGGGGACATCTTCTTAAATTTGGGGTTGTCTTGGATTAAGGTAAATATAGTAACCTCTCCTTTTATTTACCATACTGGTTTGTTCATCTTACTTAGAGTGAACAACATTTACCCTATTTCCCTGAAGTATCAGCTCTGTTCTTGCTGATAAAAGTCTTAGCAAGATTATTTAGATAAGGAAGGGGACACACTGAGAGATGAATTAATATAAGAAACAGAGAGCTCTCAATGGGTCTGAATGAATTCAAGTCAGCAGGGTCTGATGAACTTCATCCCAGGGTATTGAAGTAACTGGCAGAGGAGATCTCAGAACCCTTGGTAATAATATTTATGAAGTTGTGGGCAAGGTAAAGGAGGACTGGAAAAGGGCTAGCATAGTGCCCCTCTTTTAAAAAAGGGAGAAAAGGAGATCCCAGGGAATTATAGAACAATTAGCCTCACCTCAATACCTGGAAAGTTATTGGAGCATATTATGAGGAAGTCTATTTGTAAGCATCTGGATGAGGAAATGCACATCACAAGCAGCCAGCATGGATTTATTAAGAATAAATCAAAACAAACAAACTTGATCTCCTTCTTTGACAAAGTAATTACTTGGGTGGATGAAGGGAATGCAGTGGATGCAGTGTATCTGGACAGGCTTTTGACAAGGCCCACATTACCTTCTCATAAACAAATTGGAGAAATGTGGGCTAGACAAAGCTACTATCCTGTAAGATGAACAGACAACTGGCTCAATAGCCACAAACAAAAGGCAATTAACAACTGGATCTATGTCAGAAGGGTAGGAGGTTTCAAGTGGAGTCAAACAGGGGTCTCTCCTGGGCCAAATATTATTCAATATGTTTATTAATGATTTGGCTGCTGGAATTGAGGCTTTTTGAGCAAGTCTACACACAACATGCAACTTAGAAGGATTGTGAACACACTGGACAGAAACAGTGCAATTAACAAGGGTCTTGAAAGCAGGGCAGTGCAGTCTGCTCCGAGGTGTGCACGTGGTCGCCGCCAGCATGGAGCTGATGCCAGAGTTGTGGTGCCCGGCGTAGCTGCTTGCAGCCTGCCCACTGCTTGCTGCAGCTGCCCAGAGCCTAGGCTGGCTACAAACAGCTGCGTCAGGATCTAGAGCCCAGTCACCAGTTCTGTGCCAGGAACAGGGGAGAGACTGGGGTTGCGCTGCCTCAGGCCCCTCCCCCATCGTACCGTGCATGCGCCAGTACAGAGCTGATGCCTGGGCTCCGGAGCCTGGTGTAGCTGTTTGCAGCCTCCTGGCTGCAGCCAGCCCCGGCTCTCTGTAGATGAATAATAGCTGATGCTGCCTGTGAGAAGAGAGGCAAAAGCCCCCACAACATGGCCCTGGATCCCTCCCAACGAGCCCCAGTACTTACCACAGGGGCAGAGACAAGCAGCAGCTGCGGGGAAATGCCAGTGCAGTCTTGGCAGTTTCAGAGCTGCCTGAGCCTGCAAATCGGGGTGCCCCAGGGGCGGGGCCTTAGAGGAGCACAGGCGGCTCAAAGAGCAACTGGAAGAGGAGTCAGCGGGGTGGAGGGAGAGGCGTGGCATGCTGACTGGGAGACGCAGGCAGCGGAGCCGGGCAGCAGCAGCCTCGAGCGCGGGGAAGGAAGTCCTAGCGTCAGCAGGGGAAGCCCAGCTGACGGAGAAAGGAATCCAGGCTCTGAGAGCCAAGGGTTGCTGGAGAACTGGTTCTCCATTACCGGTCCGAGCAGAGCCTCCACAATGGCAGAGAACTCAGGTACTGCGGCAGGGAGGGGCAACAAGCAACAGCTGAGCCCCACAGGCAGCCCGGTGAAGAGGGAGGAGCCGGCGGCAGCCGCATCTGAGTCCTATGGGGAAGTGGCAAGTACCACCATGTGGTGGGAACAGGAGTGATTAGCTCCTAGTCAGAGGGATCATGGGAGCCAGCATCCTAGCTGCTCGTCGTCAGATGTCGAATACCTCTTTTTTTGTTGAGAGTTATTCTAAGTTACTGTTACCCCGGGCCAGAGCAGGTTTAGTTTGCCCAAAAGGTGATCCGGAGGCCAGGGATTTACCTGGGAAAGATTGATGGCCAGAAGGACCCGACCCAGGTAGAGGTGGGTAGCGTGGATGAGAAGAGATCATTCCAAGGAAGACTGCAGGAAGCAGTATCTACCCAGGCCGTGGATGTGGTAAGGGTCGGGTAAAGGAGAGGTTTGGAGCCCCATGAAGAAAGACCAGGGTCAAGACCCCTTTTGGGACCACTGACAGGGACTGCCTCCCCATCAATCAACATCAAAGACGTGGCAGGTGAGTAGGTGCAGCGCCCATTACCATCTAGGTGGCCCCAGGGTGCAGTCTCACCCTGACGTCACTAGGGAACAAGGCACCGACCCGAAAAGGACTGAAGCCTTACAACACCTACCAGCGACAGTGCCAATCATGGAGCCCAGGCTGCTTGCAGCCTCCCAGATGCCTGCTGGGAGCAGCCCAGGCTCCGTCGCTGGCAGCAGATACCCAGAGCTGGGGCTGGCCGTGGCATGCCGAGGAAAATGGCCTCTTGTGCCATGCTCAGCATGTGTGCCAGGGGTTGCCGACCCCTGGGTTAGACAATGGATTTGTATAGAACGGTTTGGATAGGGATGATCTTGCCTCAGACAGGGGGTTGAAATAGATGACCTCTGAAGGCCCGTTCCAGCCCTATTTTTCTATGAGTCTATTATTCATCAGTGCAGATGTTTGACTCAGTTATTTGACGTGAGTTACCTGATAGTTTTCCAAACATCGAAGCCATCCAGGGGTTTGGTGCCATTTATATGTCCTCCAGCAAGGTTTACAAGTGTTGGCAGCCAGTCAGAAATGTGTATAAGTTCATGACTTTCTACGCCCTTCTGTTTCAGTAAAGGGCTTGCAACAAAAGCTACACCTCTTACTCCTCCTTCCCAAAGTGTCCATTTTCTTCCTCTTAGTGGCCAATTATTTCCACCTGCCAGTGTCTGTCCTCCATTATCTGAAATATAGGTAAGCAAAAGGAAGGATTTTATAAAACATTATATAATAATGTGCTTGTTTGAAGGACATGTGCATAATATAAGAAGTGTGTAAGGCAACAACTGTATACTGCTAAATACCTATCTAATAACTAATTACATTTCTTATAATTTCAATATACATATAATACCAAGTGTTTAAGCTTTGTATCTTCAAAGTCTATTAAAAATATTACCTAATTATTCCTCACAAAAGCCTGTCAAAGGTAGGGATATCACCTCCATTTATGAAAACTGGGAGAAACCTGAAGTAGATGATTTAGAAACATCTTTTTAAATGTAGTCTCTAATACTGGATCCCAAACCCTGAGACATTCAAAAGACTTCAAACCTGAAAGCACACTCAAAATGTGATCCTTAAAGATCAGCTCAAGGCCACAGAGGGAACCACTATGGAAACTATTATTAGTACTCAGGATTCTGGCCTGCAAGGAACCTGGATCTTGCTCATGATATAGCTCAACCCAGCTAAGGGCAATGCAAGGAATTGGGCAGAATGTGGCGGCACTGAGCCACCTATCCCCTCCACATCATCCCCCTCCTTGCTGCTCTCTCATGTCTGTGCTTACCCTTGCTTCAGAGGGGCTAGTTATCTGCAAGAGGGTAAGCATAGGTAGCTTAGGTACTGCCGGGGGAATTTTTGGCCTGTGGCAGGGAGCCAAATTGCATCCTTCTATCAGTGGAGGCACAACGTTGCCAGCCCACAAATAAGTTATTGTAAACTACAGTCAGGATAACTTAGCTGTGGCTATAGCTACTGGTGAATACCAAAAGAAATTAAAGGCAGCTTTGATTCATTAAAACTGGAAATCCTATCCCCATTTGCAGCCATGTGCAGGGGATGGAACAGCTGTGCATCCCCTCACTATTACCACTTGACATACTAAAATAGCTGAATCTGCGCTATGCTGAGATCACTGGACTGGTATGAAAGCAGATCTGTAGTTCCCTCTCTGGCCCATTTCAGACACAGCCCTCTTCTAGCTCAACCCAGAAAGCAGTTTCCAAAAGCTGTAGGTCAAAGACAACCCTGGATGACTAACCTTTAGTGCATTTCCTATAAGGTACTTCCATTAGTGTGGGGACCCAGTGGCAACTCACCAGCTACTGCTCTGTCTCAGATCTCCATTCTTTGGAGCAGTCAAGGTGGCAGTAACAAGTTTACTGAAGTACCATTTGGTCCCAGTCAACTATCCTATTCCAGATCCATTTCAAAGTCTTTCTTCTACTTTTAAACTGCAAGGTAGTTTAAAGTCTCTGAGTACTTTAAAAGTAGAAGAAAGATTTTGATGCCACCATTTTTCTCTTCACAGCCTAAGACAGTGGGGGGCCAACCTTTTCAGCAGGCCTTTCACAAAACAGCCCTGCAACCTCCCCAAGTACCAATATGATCCCTTTTCCTTACCCAATTTGTTGTTCTGCTTTCTTCTTCCTACCCTGTGGTCCCTGCTCAAACTGCTGCTCTGCTTTCTGCTCCCTATCCTATCTGCTGACTATCCTATCCTATCTGCTCCCTATCCTATCTGCTTGTTCCCTCCCCAGTCTGCCATATGTCACACACAGACATTGCCCGTGCCACAGATTGGCCACCCTGCTCTAAGGCAGCTGCACACTACAGATGAAGATAAACCTAAGTCTTGTTACCTCTAAATTTCAACTTAATACCCAGTTCTGCATAAATTTCACCGGCATGGCATCTCTCAGTAATCACAGAATCATGGAAATTTTGGGTTGGAAGGGACCTCAGGAGGTCATCTAATCCAACCCTCTGCTCAAAGCCAGACCACACCCAGCTGGATAATTTGTATAGCTGGGTCTTATAAACCTCCAAGGATAGAGATTTCACAACCTCTCTGGGTAACCTGTTCCAATACTTCATTATCCTCCTCATAAGGAAGTTTTTCTTAATATCTAACCCAAACTTTCCTCACTGAAACTTCAGATTGTTGCTCCTTGTTCCATCATTTTCCACAACTAAGAACCGCCTAGTTCCTCTTTGGAACCACCATTCAGGTAGTTGAAGGCTGCTATTAAATCCCCCCTCAGCTCTCTCTTCTCCAAACTCAGTAAACTTAGTTCCCTCAGCCTATCCTCATAAGTCACGTGCCCCAGCCCCCTAACCATTTTTGTCACCCTCTACTGAACTCTCTCCAATTTGTCCACATCCTTTCTGTAGTTGGGGGAAAAAAGGAGGGTGGGGGGCAAAACTGGACACTGGACACAGAGTAGAGTGGAATAGTCACTTCTTTCAATCTGTTGGCAACACTCCTACTAATGCAGCCCAGTATGCAGTTAGCCTTTTTTGCAACAAGGGCACACTTGGTTCATATTCATCTTATTGCCCACTGTAACCCCCAGGTCCTTTTCTGAAGAGCTGCTCCTTAGTCAGTCAGTCCCCAGTCTGCATCAGTGCATGGGATTGTTCCATGCTAAGTGCAGGACTTGGCATTTCTCCTTATAATATCTCTCCTACAGTGAAATGTCAAATCAGTTACATTAAAGACAGTGAAATAAACAAAGGTTGGGCAGAGGACAGGAATTCCTGCTCTTTCAGACAGGAATACAGATTTTTGTAATTGTGTGCATTTTATTTAGATGGCACTAGCATCTATAACAAGCTTTGAGCTATCCACTAAAGCAATACGACTCTTGCCCAAACAGTGAGATTTAAAAGACAAAAGTAAGAATGCAGCAGAGAAGAAGGGTAGGCATGATGGGGGCTGGCAGACATAGTAGTAATTCCATTTCTTGGTTTTGTTTTTGTTATTAAATGACATCTCTGTCCATCTCTGAGAGGACTTTTTATGTGTGTTTTTCAGTAAGTCCTTTTTAAGACAGTTAATATCCTTTTTCCCTAGTATAGCCAGTACTCCCTGCACTGCAGATCATTCTTTTAGGCCTACTAGATTCTCTTTACTTTGATGGGATTCCTCTCTTTAAAATGGCAAGATTGGTAAAATCAGGAAGCTAGGATTATAGGCAGCCACTTGATTTTTTTAATTCAATTTATCATCTTTTTATCATTCTTAATCATGTGCTTCATCAGTCTAGGAATATTACATCTCATTTTTCAATTCCCTTTAGTTCTTTCTCCAGAAAACGGAGAGACCGGTGGATGTGGTGTACCTTGATTTTAGCAAGGCTTTCAATATGATCTCCCACAGCAGGAGCACTCAGCCCCTGCCCAGACTGAGATTGACTGTCAGAGGCTCTGGGATCAGGAGCAGCAGGACACACATGCAGAGCAGCTGGGACGCGGTCTGGGAGCGGCAGGATTGTGGCAGGTCACACATGGCCAAACTGAGCTGCACCCCCTGCCAACAGGGCTGGGCCAAGTGAGTGGGGTGATATGTACCCTGCCACCCTGCGGTGAGGGAGCACCTGGGGCAGGGGTAAGTGGGGTCCCAGGGGTGGGTCAGAGCCCAGGCAATGGGGAGCTCCCGCACTGCATGAAACCTGGCGAAGGTCCGGAGGCCACGTGCCCTCCCAATCCGTGCATGGGGCAGAGGCGGCTGCTGCTGCACCCTGGGCTTGGTGCCCTGAGCCCCACGCACAAATGGAGGGGGGAATATGCCCCCTGGGCCTCCACCAGGGTGCATGCAGCAGGAGCCTCCTCGCACACCTGGACGAGCCACCCGGGCCCTGATCCTTCCCTAGTGAAAAGGGAAGTGAGGCGGGGCAGGCCCTGCACAGCCAGGGTGCGTGCAGGACAGAACTGCAAGCAGCTCATCCAGGGGGCACGGGGAAGGGCGGGGGCATGCAGCCTGGGACGGCATGGAGGGCACGTGCCCCCAGATCTGTACACGGGGTGGGGAGGGGCGGACTGGGGCCAGGGCAATGTCAGGCTCTTCCTAGCGCGGCTCTTCAGCCACACAGCTCTTGGGCCAGGCTGCAACGCTGGGAGCAGGGCTGCAGGCACCCAAAAATTCACCATAGTCCCCAACCCACTCCCAGCACTGCTGCACCCCGGGCCTCCACTTGTCCCACCACCCAGTCTGGCCAGGCCCACTCCACCCAGCCCCTGTTCCTACGTGTGCCCTGCTCCCCGCCTCACTGCTGGGGGCTCGATCTGTCCCCCTCCCCCCAATGGCCCTTTCCCCTCCCCTCCCCCTTCCCCCACAGACTTACCTGCTGGGGGGGAGCGAGCCCCCAAATAATTTTTTCTACCTCTGCCTCGATCTGACCCCCTTCTCTGCCCACAGACTGACCTGCAAGGGAGCGCGGGGGGTGGTAGCGTAGGGTAGATCTTGGGTTGGTTTTTAATTCAAAAGGTGATCTCCTACCCAAAAGGTAGGAGAGAGATTTTAAAATATTTGAGACTTTTGGTTATCAGGACTGGTAATATGTTAGCAAAAGTCATCTCTGCAAAAAGTAATGATGGAGGTTATGGAAATTACAAATGTGCAGAATTCTGACAAAATATGCCTAATTTTGATGGACAGTAGGATATACATTTAATGGTAAAGCTTTCTAAGTTTAATATAACCTAAACATTTTGTAGTAAACAGATATTCTAGATTTCCACCAGTACAATACTATTAAAGTGTTCATGTTATCAAAGGAAGAGGTGACAATTATAACAATCAAAATTTATCACAAAGTGAATGTTTATGTACATTTCAGGATAACTTTTTAGTGTCATTAGCCTTGTGTGTGCTACTCATGTGGAGGCATAAAATTATAGGACACAGAGTAGATAAATGCTCTGATCCACACTGGTCAATACTAATTGAACTTTTTTATCCAGATGAAAGAGAACAGCAGGGGAAGGATCCCTGCTGACCCAGCATTAGCCAGGCTGTACCATAATGGAATTTGTGCCTGGTATCAACAACAAAAGAATTAAAGATAAGAGATACAGGGTAAAGGACAAAAAAGGGACAAAACAGACAAAGCAGTTGCTTTTTGGGTGCTTTTCAAAGGTAGTTCAACACAGAGTGTACTGTAGGAATTTAGCCCT